TGGTGCTGAAACTGCTGCTGAGGTATGGGCTACAGTTCTTAAATTCTTTTCCAATCGATCAACTACCAGCATAATGAGCTTACATTGCAAGCTACGATCCATCAAGAAATGATAAGAGAGCATGCGATCATATCACTTCGATCAAAGAAGTGTGTGATGCATTAGCAGCGTGTGGCAATGTCATATCTGACATTGGTCAGGTTGCTACAATTTTGAATGGGCTTCTATTTGAATATCAACCTTTTGTTGTTGTTATTACAGAAAACAAAGATGCCTTCACAGTAGATGAAGTTTAATCTATACTAATTGATGCAAAATCCCAACTTAAAAGCTTTCAAGTACAATCTCAACCACTTCTCAGTGCCAACGTTGTACATGTTCAAAATAACAACCAAAGAAAATATTCTGATCAATCTACTGATCAACAATACACTGGAAATGAAAGAATATCACCGTAATACTCCCATGGTCGAACTGGTACTCGAGGTCGTGGAAGAGCAAGGGTGCAATATTAATTGTGTGGAAAGATGGGGCACTGTGGATCGATACTGGCATCAGTTTGATCAGTCATTTTCTGGAGTTTTGGCTGACAAACATGAGTCTTTCAACATACAGGTATCTGACTTTGAAAACAAATGCTAGACCTATACAAATAATGGATGTGCTCTAGTATAAACCTCATATTCATCACCTTCCAGCTTAGATAAATGGGTTATAGACTCAGGAGCTACTCACCATGTCACCCCAGATAGTTCCAAACTTAATAGTGGATCTGACTATTCATAACCAGGTAAGTTAGTTGTGGGAAATAGACATAATCTTGATATATATAAGACTGGTTCATCCCTCATTCAAACCAGTTCTTGAGCTCTTTACATTAATAATCTACTGCATGTTCCTGATGTCACTAAAAACCTTTTATCTGTCTCTAAATTTGCTATAGAGAACGAGGTATTCTTTGAGTTTCATGCAAGTCACTGCTTGGTGAAGGATAAGAATACTAGAGATGTGCTATTGCAAGGATGTGAGACTGTTGGTCTGTATCAATTTGCTGTTGATAATGTGCCTTGTAATAAGATGTCAAGTCCAATAGTAGTAAATGTAGCCACTAGCATAAACATGTATGACTTGTGGAATCAAAGGCTTGGGCATCCTACTCATGCACCATTGATGCAAATTTGTAAACAAATTGGAGTCAATGTTGCCTCCTTGTTTAATAAAGAGTGTACAAATGTTTGTGTAGCTTGTTGAATGGGGAAAAGCCATAAAATGCCATTTTATGAGTCAACCATAGTGTGTGATAAACCCTTTCAGTTAGTATTCTTTGACTTATGGGGTCCTTCGCACATAATCTTAAATGGTTTCAGGTATTATGTGTCTTTTGTGGATGCATGTACAAGGCATTGGTGGGTGTATTTGCTCAAGAACAAGGACCAAACGATGCAGGCTTTTCAATTGTTTCATGCACTTGTTAAAACTTAGTTTAAAACTAAAATAACGGAACTGCAAACTGATTAGGGTGGAGAATACATTCCATTAACAGTAATGTTGGCCAATATGAGAGTCCACCATCGATTGATATGCCCTCACACCTTAGAAAAAAACGGTATGGTTGAGCGAAAGCACCGACATGTTATTGAATCAACATTAGTCTTAATGGCACAAGCTTCATTACCATTAAGGTTCTGGTCATATGCTGTAAGTACAACTATGTATCTTATAAACTGATTGCCTATTAAGGTCCTACATGGAAAGTCACCATTTGAAGCACTCTACAATAGGCAACTAGATTACAGTGGTATGCGTGTTTTTGGATGCATGTGTTTCCCACATCTTTGAATGTTTCAGCAACATAAGTTGGACTTTAGGTCTCAACCATGCACGTTTCTTGGCTATAGTGCCCATCATAAGGGCTATCAATTTCTGGCATCTATTGGGAAAATATATATCTCGAGGCATGTAGTCTTTGATGAATCTTGTTTTCCTTTTGTAGGAAACAGTGACAAAACAACCAACACAGGTCAAATATCTCCTCGAAAGCTGGCAGTCATCAATGGTTCTCATAGAGTATGTGCTCGAGCTGATGATTGCATGAACATAGGTCAAAGTCCATAGATTAATGCTCAACCACCTGTAGGCAGTTCAGTTCAAGATTCTGACTCTAGGTTGATGAACCAGTTTGCTGGAGGTGAAGATGATGGTTCTGTTCATCATGACATAACTGACAATGATGTTGAAGGAGCTGGATCTGAGCCATATGTAAATGCTGCAAACGATGTAGTGGATGAGAAACAAGAGATGACATAGCCATATTTAGAAACTGCTCCAAGCTTCAAGGTTGTACCTAGTCATCACATGATAACTAGGAGCAAAAGAGGAATTTTCAAACCCAAAGTGTACATGAGCATGCAAAATGATGAAGAAGAAGAACCATATTCGATTCATGCTACACTTAAATCTGTTAAGTGGAAGACATCTATTCAAGAAGAATATGATGCTTTGGTCAAGAACAACACATGGACATTGGTAAGGCTACCTGAGGGAAGATTCCCAGTTGGATGCAAATGACTGTTTAGAATAAAAATAAATGTTGATGGCACGTTACAAAGGTACAAAGCCAGATTAGTGGCTAGGGTTTTTTCCCAAATTCTTGGGAAAGACTTTCAAGACACCTTCAGTCTAGTAGAAAAGTCCTCCACAATCAATGTGATACTTGCTGTAGCTATTCAAAATAAGTGCTGCTTAAGACAGATAGACATAAACAATGAATTTTTAAATGGAGATTTACGAGAAGAAGTATATATGCAACAACCTCAAGGATTTGAAGAAGTTGACTCAGATGGAACTCCCTTAGTGTGCAAGCTAAATCGAGCCTTGTATGGACTAAGGCAAGCCCCTTGAAACTGATATGTTAAACTGAAGGAACACTTGATACATATTGTTTTTGAAGCATCACTTGCTGATTGTTCATTATTTGTTATGAAAAAAGAAGAATATGTAGTCTATGTTCTAGTGTATGTAGATGACATAATTGTTACTGGCAGTATGAGTTGCAAAGTGGAATAAGTGGTTAGCTTGCTTGGAGAGAAATTTTCTCTCAAAGACTTGGGACAACTCAGTTTCTTTCTTGGAATTGAAGTTAAATATGTGAGTGACAACATATTCCTAAGTCAAAGGAAGTATATCATGGAATTGTTGGATAAAGCACATATGAGTAATGCCTCACCAATGACCACACCAATGGTCTCATCCCTCAAGTTGATTAGAGAAGCTGGCAGTCCTCTCACTGATCCAAAGGAGTATAAGAGTCTTGTAGGATCATTGCTATATGCATGTCACACAAGGCCAGACATAGAATATAATGTCAATAAGTTGGCAAAGTTTATTCATGCACCATGTGAGCAACATTTATCTGCTGTGAAATGTGTTCTCAGATATTTAAATGTCACTCTGGATCATGGACTTGTTCTATCTCGAAATGAATTGCCCTTTCAGCTTGTTGCATTTGCAGATGTTGACTGGGCAAGTAGCATGGATGATCGAAGGTCAATCTCAGGCAATTGTTTGTACCTTGCTGGTAACCTAGTCATATGGAATTCCAAGAAACAGAAAACTGTATCCAGGTCTACAAATGAAGCTGAGTATAGAAACTTGGTTGATGCATCCTCTGATGCTACATGGTAGCTGCATTACTTGATAGGATGGGGATTAAGCTGCAAGGCACGCCAGTGATCTGGAGTGACAATTCCAGTGCCATTTCAATAAGTGCCAATCAAATTTACCACTCTAAAACTAAACATGTGGAAATAGACGTTCATTTCGTGAGAGAAAAGGTGGTAGCAAATAGATTGAAGGTGAACTATGTTCCATCCTCGAATCAGGTAGCTGATGGCTTCACTAAGGCGTTGTCAAAAAGATTATTTTCATATGTTTAGACAAAGATTGGGTGTTGTTTCGTTAAAAGAAGTTGAAGATGGAAGAAGTAGGGAGCATATTGGATGGAGTACAACATGCACGAGCATGCAACATGCACCAGCTTAGCATTGCTTATCAAGTTATGTTAGTTTACAACTTGACTGCCTTCTGTTATAGCTGTTATAGTTGTTACACGGTTACCTCTATATGTATATGAATATAAACAATATTACTTGAAATCAATCAAGAAACAATATTCAGTATTATATCAATTGAGTTTTTCATTAAAGAGATTGAGAATTTATTTTTAATGATTTCATATCTCAAATTTTGAGGGTTCATTAAATATAAACTTGAAGAAATTTACCTTATTTATTGTGTGATTGAGATGTTGTAAAAAGATTATAGTTATTTCATAGCCCATATTTGAGTGGTTTATGTTGAGATAAACTTGATGAAATAACTTGACGAAAGAAAGCAGCACACCAGCTCTCCATACCTCACACGCCTTTAACCAACATATGATTTGGGAATGTGTTGTTTTTGTGGGTTTCTCCCTCTCTCTTTATTATTAAAGAACATTCAAATATGTTGAAGAATTTAGCCATAAAACATTTCATTACATATTTAAAATGATTTTTGACAGATCATGCCTCCATGATTTAATACGTATAATATAAGTACCTGAAGAGGCGCTTCATTTGTTTAAAATAAAAAAATGTATCACTATCGAAAATGAAATAATTGAAACTTTAACTCTCTTTCAAATAATAAAAGATTACACATTTTCAAGGAATTATTTGTAATAATGTGACTTTTCCATCTAAGTTATATGGTTTAGCTTCTGTTTTGCATTTCGGTGATTAATAGTTCAAACAGTAGATATGCTGATGAAGAAGGTTAAACTACTGAAATAATCAGTTTATATAGGGAAATGGATATATATACACGAACTTGATATCTGTTAAGGTACCCTACATCAATAAGGAAATATCGAATGGAAATATTGAATTGTCTTTCCCCATATAAACTCATTCATACATATAAAGTTGTTGCTTTGGAAGCCTAGCTAGAAAATAAAACCCATTATTAGAAAATTAATTAATCACTGATTCGTATCTTTTCTTTATATTGTATAGAGTCATTATCTTCTTCCACTTCAGAAGTAGGCTCATCATCTTCCTCCGAGCCATCGTTGCCATTAGAAGCATGGCCATTCCCAAGAGCCTTTATGTGGTCTTTAAGAGATCTTTTGTGCTTGAAATCGGAGCCACAAATGCAGTACCAGAGCTTCCCACAATTCTTTTCATGGGTTCTCCAATCTCCTCTCACAGCAAATGCCTTGCAGCATTTCCTACAGGTAAATGGCTTGATCCCATGCTTTTTCTTGTAATGAGTTTGAAGGGTTCTAAAATCTTTGAGAGGCTTGGCTCTTGGATGGTCAATGTTGTTGTTGCACCCTGGTGCACAACAATAGCAGGGAAGCCTCAACATTTCCGTCGGTTGGGTTCCCCTTAGTGATTCAGGCCCTTTCCTATACTCAGATCCATGCCCCCACATATGCATCTGTAGACAATTCAGTGAAATAAATGAACTCTAACACTATGTGAATCAGAAAAAATTATATTGCTGATATATTTGTAGAAGTGAAAACATCAAGTGATTTCAGTTGTCAAGAGGACTGATGTTCTCATTTGAGTATTGAGTTCAAGTAGGTACGTTTCAAGGGGTATGTTGTCAATACCTAAGAAATTCTATAAACAAATATAGATTGCGTACTTTGTTTATAAACTGAAGGTTCAAATAGATAAATTAATTGTTTCGTTTCAAAAATATTTTTTCGGCTGTACGATACCTTTGAAGATCAGAAGTACCATAGGACTGTTGTTGATCACAAAAAAAGAAAAGAGTATGGATATCAGTATGGACGAACGTATAAGCTTTTGTTCTTTTTATAAATAAATGGTTGTGAATACAAATTTAATACTATGTTTATCAAATAAAGGATGTCCGGAAAATGTGTATTTATTATTTATTTTCAATAGTTTGTTTAAAGTAACTTTTTTGTTGAATTATAACTTATATTATTACTTCAGGTTTTATTATTTTAGATAATAAACATTATCTCAATAAAAACTCTAATTCCTTGTTTTCTCTTCCTATGTTCTTTATCAACATCAAGTGGTGGCTTTCCTCTCATCTCCTTCCCATATTGATTCCTAAATCATTTTTACCCAAATTTGTTCTAATTTCGTAATTTATTAATTAATATAATGAGTCATTTTCCACTTACCATAGTTGCACCTCTTTGATTAAAAAATGACTCATATCACATATTAATGCATGCCTACACTTTGGTCTCCAATTTGAAATATCTTTTCCTTGTTAAAGATGCCCGAAATTTAAGTTTAACTGGTCCTTCTTCTAATTAATTAAAATTAATTAGAATAAACGCAAATAAAATTTAAAAAATCAAATATAAGAACATATTTCATAAGGTTTTTTTTTTGTAAAGAATAATTAAAAATAATAATTCACAAATTTTTTTTGTTAAAAAAGGAATCCCATAAATAAAACGACAGAGGATCTTATATCCAAAAAAAAAGTAGTGTGCCCTTGTATTTTCTGTTATATTTTGGATGGATAACAAACATTTTTGGAGAAAAAACTCTATGTTCATCAAGTTAGTTCAGTATTGAGGAATAAAATTATTTAATTAAACCCAAATGAGTATTTCAAATGAGTCTAAATAGAGGAAGAAATACTCATTATTAAATGAGTTGAATTCAAATTAATTTTAGAAAATATTAGTGAGTACAAATTACACATGAACAAGTTCAAAGTTAAATAAACAGATATCAAATTAAACTTGATTGTTCAAACACAAATCATTTATAATATTTGGAAACAGATTAACTTAGATCGGATGAGAGTTGTCCAAAAAATACCCCTTAGATAAATCAGCTTATTTAGAATCGAAGCATGGGAGAGAAAGAAAGAAAAGAAAAGAGGTTAATGTAAGATATATAAACAACTTATCTTGAAGGAGGAAGCTTATCTTGTTTTAAGTTGAAAAAGAAATTTTCAAAGGAAGTAATAATTGAAGGAGGAAGCTTACTTGCATGTTGTTGTATCTTTTGAAGGTTTTGGTGCAAAGAGGACAAGAGAAGTGAGTAGGGCCAACAAGAATCTGAGAAGGGGTAGGGATCCAATACTGTCCCTTGTTGAGCCTCTTAACTGTGAACCCAAAAGAATCATGGCCATCTTTGTCCGAGAAAGATGAAAGAACAGAAGCCAACTCTGAAGCAGTAGGGCTTGGTAACCCTATATGCAGTGCAACTCTAACTATTTCATCTTCTGTTGCACTTGTGTTGGTGAAAAGTAGCCCACGACCGTCCTCTTTCCCTTTGGTGCTGGCTGTGCTCAATGAACACTCATCTTCTTTATTCAGCCTTGTGGGACTCAGGGTCAATAGTGGCAACGCTTCCATAACAGGAGGCGATGAGCAGCTGGTTTTGTAGTGGAAGAAAGGATCAATATTGCTGCTTTGCCTTTGATCGCTTGGAGGAGGAGGAGGGTTTGGAGATGGGTAATCTTGAAGAGGGCTCAACTTCGACCAGAAATTGGAGAGTGGGGGGTAATCACCCATGGTTTCAAATAAACAAGAAAAACACAAATAAAGAAGAAAAGGATGGGTGTTTTTCAAGAGATAGAATTTTACAACTGTTTGGGTTTGATTGATTTGCTTTTGTAGACGAATAAAAAAAAGAGAGAAAGTCTGTACATGATAGCTCAAGTGCGTGAATGGTGAGTGATATAGCACTTCAAATTATATACTTTTATAGTTATATCTTCTAGTACCATCATGCGATTACAAGATGGTATGTGTTCACAGTGTTTTTAATCTATTAATAATGCACACATATTCTGTAGACGTAATTGCTTGAACTCAAAACATATAGGGAGAACAACATTCTTACTTACAACTGATGTTGTATGATAGGTTTTATTTCATAATTATTCATTTTAATGATAGTATTTTTTTAGTAAATTATCAATCTATAGAGAAGAAATAGAATACTTGAAGTATTTACAACACCCTTAGACCGATACGTGCGACCCGATCCGATCCGAGGTGTAACATTAGGGCCACCGGAGCGACTCACAGTATAAATCCAGGAAAAATTAATTTTTTTGTTAAAACGTGTAAAATCATAAAACAATTTATAAATAAAATACAAGTTTAGAAAATCATTCATATATTACAAGAAGAATTAAGATCATACAAGTTCCAAACTCAGTATATAAAAAAAATCAAATGGACCTACATGCTCCCTAATTACACATTGTACCATACTATGCAAGCAAAGCCGAAGGAACTCCCAATACTGAAGTTGAAAGCTGCACTGGATCGATTCTTTTAACCTGAAACGGTGAGTAAAGAATGAGCTTTAGGAAGCTCAGTAATACATAACTACCAAATGAATTTAATAGGCCATCGGGTATAACGTAAAGCATAAATTCCTTAGCAAGACAGACATCATCATATTCTAGCTTTGAATTTAGATTCCATTAACTAAGTCTTCAGTTACAAATAGGAGTTACGGTCTGAATAAAGTATTCAAAGAGAGACATATTTAGAAGATTAAATTGGGGAGTCTAGTGTGTTCCAACAAAATAGAGAAATGTGTACATATCCTTTAAAAACAATAGTAGTTTAGAACATATTTTAAAACCACAGTAATACCCTACAACCAAACACTAATATGCAGTTCCCCATAATTGCATCCATAAGGACTTACCCTAGACCCATGGGGTGTAGGAGCCAACCTAAAAGAATATCTTTGGGTCTGAGAGCCTACCCAATCGAGTACCTTAGGGCCTAAGAACCTACCCAAGGATGTACCTTGGGGCGTTAGAGCATATCCAAGGAAATGCCTTGGGGCCTCAGATCTTACCCAAGGTCACCTTAGGTTCGTAAGGAATTACCAGCTTGATCAGAACTGAACATCCATATTCCATAATCTTATCCAGACATTATACCAATAATAGGTTCATACAGGAAACAATAGATTTCATGATCAATAAATCAGGAACGATTATATTTTCCAGTGAAAATAGGTAATCAGAGAGCACATATCATGTAGCTATAGGTCATAAATATTAAATCAATAAATTCGGTAAATCATATTTCAGGACAAATAAAATAATCATATAGCACGTAGGGAACACACTAAAAGATCAATTTATTTTTCGGATGTACTTAGAAATGATCAAGCAGGGAAAACACTAAACTTCTGGAAACTGGTTGAATTTTAGAACTGAGATCCCTATAAAAAGGGATTTGATAGCTAACAGATTCATTAGTCATTCAGGAAGTGATTTATCAAGATCATAGTATTCAACTAAATTAACAAAAATTCTCAAAAATTCCATCAATCAGGCTTATAAGGGCATTTTAGTTATCTGATTTTTGAGAATTTTTGTTAATTTAGTTTAATAAATGAATGCAACGATTTACAAAATTCCAAATTTCAATCATCTTAACAGGTTTTCAATTGCAATCACACTATATAATTCTTTGGACAGATCATGAGGAAATGAATGTGTATTTAAGTAATATTTATTTACTTCTCGTATTATAATAATATTAGGGATGATCAACCTACTTATGGCGTACTCTAGAAACCTTAAGGGTGTTACAACATTTAAAACTTCATTGTTATCTCTAGAAGTTATCCAAAGGCATTTGCTTAATCCAAGTCATGAGAGTATTTATGTCATTCTAGTATTCGAGGTAGATTTAATCATTAAGAGCTTAAGGGTATTCAGTCATTCCAGAGCTTGGGGTATTTTAAGTCATTTCACACTTTAGGGGCATTTTAGTTATTTCACAATTTAAGGGTATTTTAGACATTTCCTTCCATCTAGTCTTTCCATTTAATTCAAACTTCTCATTTATTCCAGTCATTTCGAACAATTCTGACAATGATAAGTACTTTCGATAAGTTAGTCTTCGGGTGAATGCTCGTAAATAAAAAATTTTGGGTCTAGTGCCTTCTCAGTGTTTATGAACTGTTTATTAAAATCTTTTTAACAAAATAGGAAGTTAACAATTAAATCAGTAATTTATCGGATTACATACGAATTCTCAGGTTACTTTCTAAATCGAAGGCAATTTGGGCTAAATTTACATGTTAAGGGTAATTTCAAAATTTTTCACGAGGTATTTTCGGTGTTTTCAATTTTTAACAAGAGTAATCAAATTTTACGGGTTATTAGGTTAAACACTTCACTAGTTAATCACAAAACTTAGAATTGTTCCTTATAAATCTTCAACTTTCTTATACGAGCCATCGAAGTTTTATTCAGTTACTTCCTTTTTATCGCATTGGAATCGAATTTAGAAATAATTAACTATACATATGAGACAAAACATATTCCTTCGTGCACTTAAAAATACCAACATGTACCGTAAATCATGCATAAGGTATTAAAGTATTACCTCGATTCTCGAGCTATACCGGTCGAACCTTTAAACTATATTTGATCACTCTCAAACTTTAATCCAACATCTAATAATATCTCGGATACATATCAACAGAAATTACTTAAAAACGGAGTTGAATTACGAAAAAAATGATTGAATCGAGAGGTTAATCAGTGAAAAACAACTTATCGGGTTCGAATCCAGTGAAACAAACCTGAAAATTGGACTCAGGATGTTAAAAAAACATCAAGATATGTGTTCCTAGAAAAAGTCAACAATCGGTTAACGACAGTCAATGGCAGTCAATGGCCAACGACTGTGTAAAGACTTAGCTTGGCTTGACTCAGTCCAGGCGGCTCGGTTCTGCTCGGTCCAGGTGGTTTGGTCCAGACTGGTCCATCCGGTTCATACTGGTTCAGTAGGCCAACACACTCCCGAGGCTGACAGACGACGCCTACATGTAGGGAGAGGCACATACTGTGCATATGATGGCTCCTGTCATTGGTTTGGTGTACAGTTTTCCCGATTCGTAGATCGACACCTTGAGAGTCTTGTGCTTGTGTTATTTTCGATGAAACACGTCAGAGTGTGGAATTTTAAAATGTTTGAACTTTTCCAATGTTTACTAGCGAGTGACAATGGAGAAGCAACAGCGAGGGTACACCATCAGTTAGGTTTCGAGCGCACGGGGATTAGATGTTTAGTGGCGGCGGCGATGATGCAAGCCAGTGGCTAAATCGGTGGGAATCAAGGGAAAATCAATCATCAGAGGTGGGTTTTCTGTCACACGTTTGAGTGTCAATTTGCGTCGATTCACGGTGTTACACGGCACATGGGTGTTCGGGTTTTGGTCATCAATCAACGGTGATTCAAATGAGGGTGGTGGCGGCCTGAACGACGACCATACGAAAAAGAATCAGGGAGATGATGATGTAGCAGCTAGGGATTTTGAGTTTGGAAATTGGGGATTTTTGGGGGTTAACCTAGACATTTAAAACGTTAAAAGGAATTTTAAATTATAAAAAGTCATAATTATACCCTAGCCTAAACGGTTAGGGCATGGGCAGACATACCCAAGGGACATGACAACGCTTCATTTTCACTAACAAATAAATTTATCCTTAATCTCATTAAAAATAAATTTAATAGTATAGAGAGAGTAAGGGTCGATCCACAAGGACCAAGGAAGATGCTGAAACGATTGTTCTTGATCACTTATCTAGGCGAGAAAATGCAAGTAAATTAAAAAAAGGGGTTTGTTAAGAAATTGAATAAGAAAATAATGATTCAAAGAAAGATAAAGAATCAAAGAAAGTAAAATTAAAAACCAATATGATGAAATTACCCTCAGGCTTTTACGTGCATCAAATTCCAATTGATCATTGAATAGGATTTTTCCTCCAATTAAATGTCGGTTTTAGTCCGCAAGGTTCAATCTTTGTAACTCATTTTCCTCTTTGGTGATTGACTTTTCAAAATCTATTAAGGAATCAGAATCCATGTTCGGATTAACTTCGACTATTGTTGTTAACTCAAAATATTTTAAAAGCGCTTGGAAAAACCCAACTCAAATTATGTTTTCTCTATGAAAGTTGAACTCGATCCCAATTTGCCTTAGCGTACCATCAACTAAGTGTGTTCAAGGGAATTTGAATCAATTGACTCTATAATCCCAATGGTAAACTATAACGTCATCCAAGCCAAAATCTATTTTTGAAGTGAAAGCGTTTTGATTTTAAGAAAGATTATCCGCCAATCTAGTTTCCAAAAAATTGAGAATTTAACCCTCAGAGGGTATGAGATGCTTTTCGATTCTCATGATTCAGAATCAAGTCATCACTTTAGCCTTTGGCTATGGAAAACTTTGCTAAGTATGATAGAAATCATACTTAGCATTTTTAAAAAGAAAACTTGTAACGAAAAATAAAAGAAAAAGTAAAACTTTATAAACTAATGAAAGAAACAAGAGAATTCAAGAGTAAATGATCTCAATAATCCCAATGATGAATTGAGGCTTACCCCAATAGGGTATTTATAGTCCTCAAAAACCCTAAAAGATTACATTTAAACTAAAAGACAATTATGAAAGATAATTCCTAAAATTAAAAAAATCCTAATTTAAATTTGAAAAATGCGGTTGAGTCTCCTATTCCATGTAA